ATTCCCCCTATGGGGCATGGAGCACGTGTACACACACACACACACACACACACACACACACACACACAGGTCTTGTACATGTCATATCAGTGATTTCTCTCCAGTTGCCACAGAGCCCCCTTAAGTGTCTGCGTGTGTCTCGGCACATCTGCTTACAGATTGAGCTTGTCTGACTCTCATGTATTAGTTTTATGTGGCTGAAATTAAAGATGGTTAATGAGGTTTAAAAAAGGAGAAACATTGTTTTGAGATGTGACAACGCTACCTGTCAGGTTATTTTAAATCCACATTAACAAGAAGGAGGACACAATGGCAATACTACCATTAAGATTATTATGTTGAGGCTTTAAGGAGGCTTTACCAGATAAACTGATTCAATTTTATAGTATTTTTTTAGGTTCTGTTTTGTGGATCTGTTATATTGATTAGTATTATTATGCTTTCCTTATAAGAGGTGGCAGATAGAAGTTAATTTACACATTTCTCAGATTTTCAGTAATTGTTCTTTACCTGACAATAGCTACAGTTACATCTTACCACAAACACATGCACTACTGGACATTCATTGTTCAGGTAAATCATTTTAATATAGATTTCACATGATATAATATAAACATCCTCTTTTCATTCCCTGCTCATACATACATACCATCAGCTGTATAAAATATGGACACCATGACAGCTCCCAGAGATGAAGCCACCCCGATGAAATCTCCCCCTGGTGGCTGGTTGCAGTATATGTTATAAATCCCACTTCTTCAATGTTAGCGCATGGGATGTGAGCCACACTAACAGCTCAGAGTACAAATCAGATAAATTTTTCCCAGAGGTCACTTGGTTTTTAATATAGACCTTATCACGCTGATAATGTGTACAAGTGGTCATTTTTCTGGTGAGTTTGTTTTTAATTACTTATTTAATGATATAAAAGAGGTGCAGGTGGAGATGCCATGTCCATACGTCAATGATACATACAGGTGGAATGTGAACATCAGAAAAAGCAATATAAACAAATGTATAAGTGGTTAACAGCAGGCACTGCTTTATTATAGTCCTACCTGCTGCATCAGCTATCACTGCACCAGCTGAGCTCTTTTTCTTTAACCAGACCTTTAGTATACTGTTTTGATTTGTCTTTGTCTCATATTTAATATCTGTTTTCACTGTCGATATCTCCTTCTTCCTCTCACTGTCCACCTCTCTCTCTCTGTCCTGCCATCTTCTTTTCTCTCCCTTCACTTTCCTCACCCTTCCTATTCATCCCCTCTCACTTTGTCTCCCCATCTTTCCATTACCCTTTACCTTCCCCCTTACTCTCTGAGATTTTTCCAATGACTGACAGAAGGTGAAATCACGTGAAGTCATTTTGCTCTGACAACATAATGAACCACTCCCTGCTTATCTTCAAAGATACAGCATATGAAAGAAAGGAGCTCTGCGTGTGTGTTGGTGTGCACGTTTGTGCACCATTGTTGTGCACGTTCTTGAATGTTTTGTCTAGAACACTCATGAATTTGCCCACTGTTAATATAGTGAATAGTCAGTGGAATTCACTTGACAATACACAGTGACCTTCAGCAGTGACTCTGTGTGTGTTGGCAGGAGGTGTGTGTGTAATTGGTTGTGTGGATATGTGCATATTAAGGGTGTTTGTTTTTGCACAACACAGTGTGAATGAGTGCAGTTTATAGCCCCCGGTCTGACCGCCCAAATTAATCTGTGTATGAGGTGACACATTTAGCATCTTTTCCTCATGCCTGTGTTTTTAATGGGCTGTTAAAAGTATCTTCTGTCACCTCAGAATGTGACAAGCTTCCTCCAGCCTCTCCAAAACCCTGACACAACCCTGACATTGATTGTTGTGTTGAAGGATTACCTTTGGGAAAGTGTGTGCATGTGTGTGTTCCTTTCAGGTGATTGGCAGACAGACAGATTCATGGGGGTTAAATTGCATGGTTGTGTGTGTAGGTCAGAGTGACTCAGGAGCTGATTTTTTTTATACAGAGAAGATATACTAAAAATTCACAACTTTCACAACTAGTTTTTAACCTCTTTTGCACAGTGCACCCTTTTAGAGTTTAAAATCCTCTGACTTTGTCTGTCTGCATCAGCTGCTTAATGACAATGATTTGATAAGAGAAATCAGAAAAATATAATGGTCTTTATCAAGATTTGCTTTAAAATTTTGCATTGTACATTCAGCCTACATGTAGATATTATAGATAACAGAGCTGAAACAGCTAGTTACGTAACTAATAGATCGACAGAATATTAATCAGTAGTGATATAATGATATATAATTTTGCAATATTGTGGTAGAAAAATGTCCCTAATGACATGGTATCTACATATGGTTATTTCACTAGTAAAACTGCCTGCTGGTTGGGGAAACTGACATAGTGGATGCTCCATTGTCGACTTTTACAGGTGTTAAGTGGCAACGTTTCAGTTTCCCTGTTTCAAGAAATGACACAGGCAAAAAGGAAACAAATAAGCACTGAATAATTCAGAAATACTGCTGGACAAAGACAATACTAGCCCTGTTTAGGACTGAGACTGTCCTGAACACATCTTGCAAAAACAGTTGGGACATGACTATGCACTGCACTTTAACGGAGATAGGTAACCAAATAAAAACACCATTTAGTAACCACCCTTAAAGTAATTTCTCTTAAAGTTGACCATGATTGAAAAACACATCAGGTAAAACACAAATCTCACCTTTATGTGGTTTGTCCTAGTTTGGTGTCTTCTTTTCCTCGGTCTCCCGCGCCTTACAGCAGTTTTCTCAATACTGCCCCTGGTGGCGAGGAGGGGATTCCCACGTCAACTGGTCTAGTTGCCCACTGAGAAAATGAACACTGGGCGACACAGTCGCCAAACAAGGAAAGTTAAACCTATTGTATCATGCACTTCTTATTGTGGCGACATCGCACTGTGAGTTTTTGGTATCATTACATCACTATTAATCAGCAGCAATTTTGACAAATTATAATTTATTTATAAATGTTATCTAGCTTCTCAAATGTGAGAACATGCTGCTTTTCTGTGTTGTAGACTATATTATTTTAAATGGAAAATATTTTTTGACTGTTTGTTGGATCAGACAAGACATTTGAAGATGTCACCTCGAGCTCTAGAACCTTTGAGAGTTTAGTGTCACAATTTTTTTTCTCATTTCATGCAATGAACAATTTAGTGAAAAAATAATCAGTCAAATAACTTAGTTGTGTTGTTGACTGTTTCAGTCGTATTGGTGATTTCATGGAACATTTAGCCTAATCTAACCAGAGATGGATGATATGTGGCTACTGAGGGGGAAAACCATTATTAATGTCTATATGACTTTAAGACAGCTATTTATCGTTCACTGAACTTTTACCTCCAGAAAATGTTTTAGCTCTACTGTGGTAACAGAAACCATAGATTCTCTTTAGTTTCATATTTCATTATTCATATTTTTCACATATCAAAATGGAAGCACAGATGATTTGTTGTAGAGTTGGTTTTTTGTCAGTGAATTTGAGCCAGGAGATCCTGCAGAACAGAACGATGAATAGATGACTAATCCTTTCCTTTATTTTCCTGGTTTTGTTTCCCCCAGGTCAAAGTGACACAGGAGCTGAAAAACACACACATGGAGCAGATGACAAGACTGCACTTTAAACACCAGACTGAATGTGACCTGCTGGAAGACATGAGGTACGAACACGTCTCTGTGCTACACACTTGTACCGACGTAGTCCTGCTCTCATCCGCTAAAATACAAGTGAGGAATATACTCACTAACTGCCAGATGATTTGAAATCTGTTCATCCTTGCTGACTGTGATCTACATGCCAAGCACACATGGAAACAGCCGTGCGCAAAAAGAGAGAAGGAAACGACTGATGAGTGAGGGAGGAGCGGCATGAGACAGAAAAAGAGGAGGAGGAGTATTGTCATATTCCAGCTTTTTGAGAAGGACAAAGGGTTGGGAAAATGACGAAGGAATTTCCTGCTGCCTTCTTCCTGCTCTCCGACTCTTTTTTTTATCCACCCTTTCTTTTTTTCCAAATTTCAATCCATATCTCTCTCTCTCATCTTGTCCTTCTCCCTCAGTCTCTTTTGCTCTGACTACCCTTTTTTCTGTCTCCATATCTCTCTTTTTCATTTCAGCTCAGCTCTTTTTGTGATGTGTGCTTCTGGCAGTTTTCCCTTTTGGATTTGGCAATGAGAAGAAACCCCGGTTCCTTTACACGCTCTCATTTGCTGTGTTGACGAAGCATTGATTATTTATGACAGCAAACTCTCTGCTGCTCTCTCCTTTCTGCTTCCATCCCTGTCTTTGTCTCTTTTTCTGATTTTCACGCTTTCTCTGCCTCTTGTTTATCTGAGACTTCCTCTCTCTTTCTCCACATTCACTCTCGAGGGGAGCTCTAGCTGTATACGAACAGATTGCCATGTTGCTGCTGGCTTTTTGAGAGTGAACAAGGCCAGGTCTGGCTTGTGCGAGAGAGGGAGAGCTGGTTAAGAATATGCAGCCACGGCGTGTCAGTGAAGGATGTCACTGTGTGCCATCGAGTAAAGATCTCCATATTGGCGTTGCCGTCCTCGTGGTTGAAAGATGCTGCCTGCAGCGTTTTCTCAGCGCATTCCTCTGGCCATTAATGTTTTTGTAATTATTTCTGATGATACTTTCTCACGGTGGCAAAATCAGGAGCAGCAGGGTGGTGTATTGATTAGGGAGACCCTCTCTCGACTGGGAGGCCTGGGCTTTGAGCCCCTGCAGCGGCATGCATCTGCTTTGTTGATGTGTGTCCTTGAGACATGAATTTTTCCCTAGCTGATGTGGCACTCATCTGACTTTGAAAGGCTATCGTAAAAGATCAGCAGGGTTAGGATGGAACATCTGAAAAATTTACATCAGAAGCAAGGCCTTTCAGCACATGTAGACTGACTGCTGTCACTGTTGTCAGGGCTGTGGCTCGCTAAACTGGTGAGTTTTTAAGGAAGGACAAGCATGTCTGTTCACTGAGAAAGAGGAGCAATGGCTACCTAGGAAAACATTGATGGGGTGGACGATAGGACAATTGGTTGATTAGCTTTAAACTGTTTTGTAAAAATTCTTTATTCCAGTGTCTACATCGAATTATATAATAACTATGTAATTATGCAATTTTAAAAAATGTGATCATAAAAATAACATTTATAAATATTGAAGATGATTGCTACTGTAGTTGTAGCTTAAAATAGTGAACTAAGCTGATACTTTACTGAGACATCACACACTAACTCTTTTAAAAACTGCATCCCAGACTGGACTATAGTGTTGGCAGTGCAGAAGTGAGTTCCACTGGGAGAAACAATTATTGCCCTGTCTCCATGCATCATCAGATACAGAGCTTATAATTGTAATGATGCCTGCAAGCAGTCAGTGGATGAACTGCAGTGGGGCGCTACTCAGTAGGAAGCTAGCCAGGCTAAAACTGGGACATTTACAGTAGTGCTAAACTTATGACTGAAACTCTTTCTGTAGGCCGTAGTCATTTACAAAGTTGCTGATGAGGTGTCATCATGGCAACTAAAATAACCTGCAGACAAATGATTTTTAAAATACCTGACACCTCAAATACAGGACAAGGAAAGTGTGGCCATACAATGAAACACATACACAGCTGACAGATACACATTTTCCTACGTAAAGGCTACCAAACATTTTAACTTTTAAATCCCAAAAGCTGCTCCGAGGTTATTTATCCTAATTAATCCACAGGCTGGCTTTAATCAAAGCATACATGGATACACACATGCACATACACAAGTTAGTAGTTATAATGCATTCAGCCTATGTGATAACCAAGACATGAAAGATAAAAAGACAAAGAAAGGGGAAGGGCTGTCTCTTTAATCCTCTGAGACAACACTTAGTTGGACTATTCGTAGGAGAGAGGATAAGACGAAAGAGAGAGAGAGAGAGAGAAGAGAAAACGATAAGTTAATGGACTCAGAGTCAACTTGGTGTCCTCAATCCAGTTAAATCCCCCATACCCTTATGCGTACCTCAGCAGCTACACATGCACCCCCACTGAGACACGTTACCCAGTGCTCACCATAAAAATAGACCAGTCGTATACATACTAATATTTATCTTGAATGCATTTAGTCATGTCATACCTTTTATACACCGTTAGACCGTAGGTTTTACAACTGTATGTTCAACTAAACAATGGAGCTGTGGCTCTTTTAAATATTGCAGGTGTCTTATATTGGTTTATGTACAGCTTTGGGTCAGTTCGTGAAAACAAACTGCAGAAAGGTCATCATTGTGGCACCTTGACCTGCAGCACTGTGATCAGAATCTGGCAAGATGATGTGGTGTACAGCAATATTTTCTTTTTTTCTGAGCTTACAGAGGGCTTGTGAAGTCAAATACATGCATGCATGGACGTGTCTGTTCCTGTAGCTGATGCCCAGTCTAGACTGCACTGATGTGATTTTGTAATTTACCCCCCACGTCTATGTTTTTTGTAGCACATTTGCCTGGGACAAATGAAGTTTGACTTTCACTCAAATTTATTGACCAAATCCTAAGAATTATCTGCAGAAATCATTAAAGCATAATGGGTCTCCCTGCTGAGTAGCTAGATGAGCCTCCCCAATTTGAACTCAGAATGCTATCAGAGTTCTCATTAATGCTTTTCTCTGCAGCCTGTATAATTTACCAAGAGGAGGGACAGAAAATCAAGGACTTGTCAGGGAAAAGCCCAAATTAATGCTCATTGACATCCAACTAATATAAATAGGTCTGTATTTGGTGAAATGACAACACAGGCTTACTCTGCAATTACTGCAAATCAAGAGAAGACCCCAGGTAATACCGGGTGGGATGAGACTGGGATGACAAGAGGATGACATTTTCTTTTCTGTCTCAAAATGAGGCATAAGAGATCCTTCACAAGGACTGCTGAACTGTTATTTATTTATTACCTTTATGAACCTGATCATTTTATGTTCATTGAGATATATTGAGTGTTTTTTTTTCTCTCGTTATCTTTTAGTGTGTGAGAATCTTTTCATAAAAATGTTGTGCTTTTGAAAAATGTATATCTTATTCAGTAGTTTTATGTTAGTTTACTTTCATGTCATTCTGGGTTGAGTGATTGATTAACAGTATTTTTCCAGAGTTTTCTCCAGGTTTTAGCAAGTTAGTGTGGGAATAGAACTAGTGCACTGGGTTTGCAAAGCTAATACTTTCAACGCAAGCACACAGCCCCTTAAAGAATCAACTTATAGTACGTAGATTTCCTTTATTATAACATTCACGTCAGTCTTTTCATTTTGTTACATCCCTTTCTTGCCTTATCAATTGCACTGTATTCTGAAATGAAAAAAAAAACAGTGAGTGTTTTCGTCCAAATGCCTGCTCAGTCTTGGAGCGTGGCCTATAAACTGTAGAGAATCTGCTCTGTTATGCCTTGTGGTTGATCACACAGTGTGAAAACACGAGCGCTCTCCTCCGCCTCTGTCTCATTCTGTGACTCATGTTGCTTATCCTGTTGTCACTGATCTCAGCCTGTGTCCTGCTAACCATTGATCTCAGCTGTTTTCCCACGTTTGACTGTTCCCTCTCTCGGCCTTTCAACCCGTTGCCCTCATTTGGTCTCAACATTCACAAACACACACACATGCAGTATAGTCCATACACACTCATGCACTTTAGTATTTCCTGTCAGACACACACTCATCTGCTAATCTGGGCATTTTCTTTCTCCCTCTCTTCTTCATGCACAGCTGATGTTGACACTGCTTTTTGACTCATGCACTGGACAAACGTACACAGACATACTGTAACAGTGGGGTAGAAATGGAGAGGGAGGAGAGAAGGGAGACACAGGGGGCAAGGAAGCAGAGTGCAGAAAACAGATTAGAGTAGAGAAGGCGAGTCACATGCAGAAGTGGATAGAGGCTATGGAGAGGTTCTGTGGGCAGAATAAACGAGGAAAGCAAGTGTAAGGATTAGAGGTGCAGACACACATCTTTAGAAAAATACAGTACATCCTTACAGTAGCATACAGGGCAGTGCATTGCCAAGAATCTGGTGATATGATATGTGTCACAATTCAGGGGTTATGAGTCCATATATTGCTATACTGTAAACTAGGCAATATATTATGATTATTTTGAAAATTAATTTTAGAGAAACTATCATAAAATAAGCAACACACCACCATATGCATAAAGTTTCCTATTAATTAAAAATCAATATTGTGTTTTCGAGAATCGATACAGTATTGCAAAGCGTAATATCACAATACTCAAGTGTGTTGATGTCTTCTTACACCCCTAGTAACACAACAGATTTTTTATGACAACAAGATCAAACAGTCTGCTGATATTGTAAAACTTGAAGCTAAAACACCATTCAGTACTTCACTTGCAAGGTCTGCTGTGCTTACTTTTGTTCTGTCCTGAGAATCACACAGTGTCACACAAACCTGCGTAGAGGGTGTGAGATTTTTCTAGCTGGTAATTTGGTATCCATATTTTACGTATGAGGTCTCCGCCGCAGTGTAACCATGGCAGCATGAGAAGCCTAGACATGTCCAAAGATCCCAGTGTGGGGTGAGTGTGTTTGTCAGCATGGGGCTGGTGTAGACCTGATGTTACTGTTCCACAGCCTGACTAGTTCACAGGTATTCATGTTTGTACTGTATGTAAGC